TCTATAAAACAGGGATAATAGCCCCCACCACACAGAGTAATTATCAGTAGGAAGTGTCCTATGTTTGTCAGATGCTGAATCAATGAACACAGCACAACTCATTCACTGAGTAATCTGTGCATCAAATATCCAAAGTAAGGGTTATCCCTTTCAAAATAATCACCTTGGAAGAATGATTCCAATGATGTAGCCATTGGTCAAAATAGATCTGAAACCAAGTGCAATTGTCTTCAGAAGCCAGGGCACATTCCTGTTGACTATTCCTTGTGGCAGCGACTCTTCCTCTTTGGAAGGCAGATGTGCTTTTCCAAACAGTCCCAAGTCTGTCAAAGTCCAGGATGGTGAATGCGATGAGAACAAGCCAGGAAGGAAGTCCTTGGCAAAAATGAGGTGTCATTAAAGTAACACCATTCATCTTCTTGCGTGGCTCACACTTGGACCCCGAAGGAGACTTTCAGAGCAGAAGGGTTCCAACCAAATAGGCTTAAGCAATGACAGCACTTTTAGGGAAGAGCATGTACGTATTAGTTCTCTCTCACTGCATGACAGATTAACCCAACACAGCGATTTAAAGCAACAGACATTTATTTTCTCACCATATCCATGGGTCAGGAATCCGGGCACAGGTAGCCGGCGCTCCAGCTGAAGGTCTGTCACCGGGCTGAACAGAAGGTGTTGGCCGGGGCTGTGGTCATCTCAAGGCCCCACCGGGGAGACATCCACCTCCAAGCTCTCTGCTTGGCTTTCCGCTCACTCACAAGACTGAGTACACACGTCCTGGCCTCTCCACAGGGCTGCTCTCTACAGAGCAAAGAAGAGAGAGAGGGAGGGAGGGAGAGAGAGGGGGGAACCCTAACGTTTTTTTTCCTAGTCTTTTTTCCAAATTGTACTTGGACGTGACACCCTATTACTTTTGCCGTATTCTTTTCCTTAGAAATGAATGAATAAGCTCAGACCTCACTTCTGGAGAGATGATTATACAGGGAATGAATCTCAGGAGGCTGGATCATTGCAAAAGTCCCTAAAGTGAAGTGACGGGTCAAAGATAACACTCATTTCTCTCTCTATATATCTCCAATTGTCTTTTAAAATGTCATTGTTTTGTAGAGATGCTCCCTTTTTCCACCTACAGATATTTTTGTGGAAAAATTTTCTCACACTAAGAACATGATCTTTTCCCTTTTTTTAATTGAAGTAAAGTTACAACGTGTCACAGCATAATGTCCCAGTTGTGCATATATACACGTATATTCATTTTCATATTCTTCTTCATTAAAGGTTATTACAAGATATTCTGTGCTATATAGAAGAAATTTGTTTTTACCTACTCTTATATATAGTGGTTAACATTTGCAAATCTCAAATTCCCAAATATATCCCTTTCCACACCCTTTTTCCTGGTAACCATAAGATTGTTTACTATTTCTTTTGTCTGTTTCTTTTGTAGATCAGTTCATTAGTGTCCTCTTTGTTTTTTTTAGATTCTACATATAAGCGATACCATACGGTATTTTTCTTTCTCTTTCTGGCTTACTTCACTTAGGATGATGATCTTCAGATCCATCCATGTTGCTCTAAATGGCATTATTTTATTCTTTTTTATTGCTGAGTAGTATTCCATTGTATAAATATACCACAGCTTCCTTATCCAGTCATAAGAACATGATCTTAATCATTGTCATCTTGGGCTGTGCCATGGGTTGAAATTACAGAAGCAAAAACTTAGTCCATTTCCTTCACAATGGATCTCACCTCTGAGAAGTTTTTTAGTCATCTGAAATACATGTGGAAATCCCTGTCATGTCTATAACACTGAACAAGATTCTGGCATTCTAACATTTCTAGACTACCAGTTGTCTAGAATTTGGGGACTTTGCATCTTAATGCTTTTAAATTCAGGAATGAATATCAAGTTCAACAAGGCTGACACAAAGTACCCATTTTTAACAAGCTGCCACTGGCCTGAGAGTGTGAGCTGTGTGTGTTCTCCAGCTGAGGATGGTCCTTACTAAGCAAATGGTGCCCTTTTTGTCTATCCAGATTTAGTAAACAGACCCTTCTCTCCAATTTTTTTCAAGGGCTTTTTCCCTAAACAAATTTACAGTAGAGGGTGCCTATTTCTCAACAAAGCGGTCAAGTTTCTTTGCTAAGTGTGTTGGAACCTGTTGACTGAATCTGAGTGTAAAGGCAGCTGATCACAGCAGTTGAACCAAAGAGATGACAGCTGGGGGCTGACAGCTGCAGACAGAAAGGATGCGTGGAGACGGAGTCAGGAAGTCTTGCCACCCAGCAGAAACTGACTTACTCCTCTTTTCCTACCTGATTTTCAGTTGGGTATCTATCTGGGTCTGCGAACGTATGTACTTCATATATGAAACAATAAGCAAGTTAATGCCAAAAAAACATTATCTATTCATTCACAGACACCTACAAATATACTGAATTTTGGCAACAAATGTTCCATAACTTCCCCTATACTTTCCCCCCGCCATTCTGTCTCTTTAAATGCTCTCACCTGAAATCCCATTCCCTAGAGTTAAGTAAACACTGTTAATAATTGGATATGTATCTTCCAGGTTTTTTTCCATACACAGACATATGAGAGGAAGCTTTGATAGGTTTCCCCCTCCTTCCTGACTTACAAGAAATGCATTGCTGTTGCCATGAATTAGCAACTTTTTAAATAAAATTTCTAAATACCGGTACATTCTTTGATAAGTTTAAAGCTAATTAAAAGAAAGTTTGGTTTTTTTTTTTCATTTTTTTTTCCTTTCAGGCACTTTGAAACTTGAATGCATAAATATGCTGCTAGAAAGTTAACTTTACCAAAAAAAAAAAGTAACCGAACAGGCTATTTTTAACGTTTTTCTTTTTAGATTAAAAACTAAAACTTTCTTTAAATTTGCACTTTAGTTTATTTACATAAACACTGCAGAGTATTGCTTCTTAAGAAGTGCAAAACACAGTCAGTCAAGCGTGGTTGGGGAGGGAGACATCGTTAAACATTATAACGGTAACCCACAACCCTCGGACCAACTGAATAAGGTGCTGGATCTTTGACTATTTATAGTCCCTTTCCAGACGCTTTTTTAAGTAAGGAGACTTTTCATGGACTATGCCACAACCGTGAAAAATAAAATGCATACAACTTCCCAATTCAATACAATGTAAACAAAACAAAATCGCTCTTTTTAAAGTAGCACTTGTAAAGATTATGTTAACCACTAACCTTTTTTGCATTTCAGTTTTTAACAAATGCATTGTGGGTAGAGCCTGGCTAAATATGAAAGTAAACCGGGCGGGTGGCTGGCGGCCACGCGGGCTCCGGGAGTGGCGGTCGCTCTGGGTGAGGACGGCCGGCCTGGCTGGGAACCTGTGCCTCGCCCGGCCGGGTGGGGCCGCGCGGAATGACCCAGGAAACGAAGTCACGCGCTTGTCTCAGGCCCAAGGCCGGGTGCACCCTGGCCGGCTGGCCTGTCAGCGTCGTGTCGGTTTCGGGGCGCGCGGCGGCGCCTGGACCGTGCGTCCGCGGAGCGCGCGGAGCCTGGGCAGGGGTGAGGGGGCGCCGGCAGGCACCACCTTTAGAATTCTCTTCATCATTAGAAGCCCCTTCCCCAGAAATCACTGTGTCTACACCCAGGTCTCTACCAGTTCGGGACTGAGTGAGTCAGCAGCAGTCAAACAGGTGGCTCCAGCAAGACTCCCTGTTTCCCTCCGGTAATTGTAGGTGCCACCCAGGAAAAACCATGTGAACTGAAAACCCTATTCTGGGCGTTCTTCAGCCTTTTACATCATCCGTAAATTACCTTTTCTCAACCCACAATGGGGGCCGGGGTATTTCTATCTAACAATTAATTGGGAAAATGCAAACCATTGGTGACCTTCCGCAGCTTTAAATATTTGTAATGTAAGTCTAAGGACAAACCGAGAGATCCCGCACTTAAGCGTTTTGCACGTTAAAAAACATTGCCAATGAAATCATGAAGTTCTTTTCCTTAAGGGAAAGGATTTCGGCTGAGGAACTGGGACCAAACCTCACTTTTATATGTCAGATATGAATTATACCCAGAAACTAAAGTATAATCTAGATGTAAGAAGTAAGCCCTTTGGAATATTGACATCTTCTGAATTTTTTTCTAGGGATAGTTTTGCTTTTTAGTTGTTTTTGTTACAAAAAATCCTTTGGGGGAAACTTTGATAGATTTCCTGCACTTACGCAAAGTTAAGCTCTTATTCAACGTTTTTCTTAGAGTTTTCCCAGTAACTTACTGTTCTTTCTTCCTGCAAAGACAAAACCAGGAAATTGTTCAGAAAAAGGCCCAAGCTGACTTCCTAATTACCTATTGTGATTAGTGAGAAAAACTTGGGAAATTGGGTTGAGAATTTCAGAAAAATGGAGAAAACATCAAATTTAAGATAAGACACTTAAAACTTGTCCTAAAGAAAATGGTGCTACAAAAGTTTAGAGATTTCCAAAGTCTAAGCTAGCTGACTCAGTGGTTTTTTTTTTAAATACATACAATCTTGGAAAGGCTAATAGATTAAAAAAGATATTAGGAAGGTTGTCAAATGCCATATTTCAGAGATGGATAATTGCTCTAGTGACATCCTTATAAATTTTGGGATTTTTGTCTTTGACCAAGGTGGGAATTTATATAACGGTAATCATTGTAGTTTGTGTAATAATTTACACTTTTTTTCATATTATCTCACTTATATTATAGTACTGATATCTTTAGTAATAGGTAGCACACATCAGCTTTTTTCCTGCTTTGTTATATTTATTGGACCTGAAGGGAATCAGAATATGCTACCCCGAAATATACTTACCTTGGCATAAAATTATTTTGAGCTGAGGAGAGTTGAGAGTCAACAGATGAAGAAAGAAGCCATTTTGGAGTTTCCCTTGTCTGACCCAAAGCAGTAACTTCAGGGAAACAAGGCTGTCATAAATTTCCTCTGTGGGGCGAGTCTACTCATAAATGCCCTCTGGGAGAGTTTTATGGCCCTGAAGAAGACAGAAAGACCACTTCAGCCCATATGGACAAACATTGTCACAAACTTTCTTATCTCCTGTTTGTGCTCCTGAAAATCCTTTTGTCTTTCCCAAAGAAACCCATTTGTTCTTCCCATAGTAGCCTTTTCTGTCCCCTCCCTTTCCCCTACTAAGTTAGGTACCTAAGCTCTAAATTCTAACTACCCCTTTAAGTTACTCATCATTGAGCATTCCTGCATAAGTAAACTCACCTTTTTTTGTTTTCCTTACTATCCAGTCTTTTGTTGGGCTTAATTCACAAGTGCCAGAAACAGAACATGAGAGTAGGGGGAAAGTTTTTTTCCCTTGCCTACTGACCTAAAGGAAATGCCATGAAATAGTAAAACAAGTACTGATCAAAGAGGTTAATGGGGTATGTGGGGGGAGAGGAGTTTACCCTAGATCTTTAAAAAAATTTTTTATTGAAATGTAGTTGATTTACAATGCTTGTTTCAGGTGTACAGCAACGTGGTTCAGTTATACATATACATACATACATATTTTTTCTTTTTCAGATTCTTTTCCAGTATATGTTATTACAAGAAATTGAATATAGTTCCCTGTGCTATAACCCTAAATCTTTATAGAAATGGTCTTAGACCTAGATCTGTGGATGATTTTTTTTAGGAAATCCTGAATTATAGAAAGCATAAAAGGGTTTTGTATTTTATTTTACCTTTAATATTATTATTTATTCAGAAGCATTTATGGACTGCCTCCGAAGCCAGGCATCACGAGAGGCAGGGCCTCCCAAGTCTAGACACAGTCTCTGCTCATTGAGGTTCATACTGAGCTGAAGACAGGCTTGGAGCAAACCCTGGTCAGTTCCAGGGCAGTTGTGAAGAGGGGGTCAGGAATACAGGGCAGGGGGAGCCCTCAGAGTGCTGAGAGCCGAACTGCCTGGGGTAAGGGTGGGGGTGTCAGAGAAAAGGGCACAAGCCCCTAAATGAGAGAGACTGGAAGCTTGGAGAAAGTGTTGAGAGTCCAGCCTAAAGCCAGATAATTAGGGCCCATTAAGGCACAGGATATAGCTTGGTGGTAAGAGTGTATGCTTAGCATGCATGAGGTCCTGCGTTCAATCCCCAGTGGACCTCCATTAAGAGAAAAAGTGAAGGGAATCAGGTCCTTCCCTAAGGAAGGAGATAATATGGCCCTTTAAATCTTTTTGAGGGATTTTGGACTTCATCCTAGGGGGCAAACGCTCCTAAAGATTCTAATCAGAGGTGTGATATTTACATTTTGCAGAGATCCTCTGGCTGCTTCGTAGAGAATAACTTGATGGAGGCAGAACCATTAGGAGGCCTGTGATATTTCTGAGAAGAGATGCCGGTGATGTCGGATGATGGCCATGAAAACGGGGCAAGAGTGGACAGATTTGACAGCAAAGTTGGAGATGTAATTGCAAGAGGTAAGGGAAACAGAGGAGTCGGAAACAATGCCCAGGTTTCTGGCTCGTGTCGGTGGATGGGTACAGGTACCAGTGCCTCGACTATGGAACAAGTGATATTGACATGGAGAATATTTAGGAGGTGGTGGTGACAGGGATATGTTGAGACCAATAAGCTCCATTTTGGAGCTGACACTGTGAATCCCTAAAATCAACAGTAGGCAGCATTTGTCAAGTTTACTGGACCCACAATGCTTTTCTCCTTGGCAGAACGTCCCTTGAGGCCAGCGTTCCAGGGAACACGCTTTGGTAAAGGCTGGACTGACTGCTCTCAGTGGTCCCAGCTCAGGTATGATCTTTTCCCATAGTAATCACCAGAATGCAAACTGCATTGCCTAATGTTGTTAAAAAACTTTTAAAGTCAAGGGTCAGAAAGGTCTAGAAGGTGTACAACTGATGCATTTTTACATAGTGAGCACACCTCTGTAACTTAGAACAACACAGAACATGTTATCACAGAAGCCTGCTGTGTGGTCTGATTTTTAAGTCTGTGAATCAAACACTGGACGCTCACAGGCTGGGGGGGGTGGGCCACTTGGCTGGACCGTTGCTCCGTTCTGTCTGCTGGGATAGCTTCCCCTCCAGAACTCAGGGGTGCAGAGGGGCCTAGACGTTGGCTCTCCCATCACTCTGCACCCTTAGTGCATCGCAAATCAGGAGCACTTGGCCTCTTTCCTTGAAAGGAGTGTTAATAAGCAATAAATCAAGTGAAGGACCTCCATCCAGAGCTGGCCTTCATGTGAATGTGTCAGGGAGAAAGGTTCTCATCCATTTGCCAAACAGCCTCCTGCAGCTCTTGATTCCCTGGGTTAGTGGGGGTGCAGCACAGGAGGCAGTAAATATTTGCAGGGTAATGAGTGTGAATATCAACCTCTGCTTCCTGCCCAGGGAATTGGCTGCAGAGGCCGATGCCTCCAAGAAAGCAGCTCTCATACCCTGAGTGAATGAATGAATGAGGGAGTGAATTTGAGACGGGGAGGAAAGGGGGCAGGCGCAACCCTTAAGAGAATGACACAGTCATTAGCACCAAGGTAGTGGAAGAGTCAGCTCCCAGTATACGCTCATCATAACACAATGGCTGCTAAATGGCACTTCCACAGGTGCCAGGACAGTTTCAAGGTGGACCATAAAAGGTCAAAAAGTGGGTGGTGGCCCAATTCGGGAAAGCCCATCCCCTCCCCCAAAGTAGTTGGCATAATCCTCCCACCTGTTAGCATATGGAGTTACCGAGCCCATAAAAACTAACAACCCTGCACGTTGTGGCCTTTCTCTTGCCTTCTGAGACGGCCCGCGCTCTGTCTATGGAGTGTGTATCTCTCTGAATAAGTATACGTTCACTCTACTGTGGCTCGCTCTTGAGTTCTTTCTCGCGTGAAACCCAGGACCCTCACTTGGTGGGGTGTGTCCCAGGGATTCACCCAAGACCTAGGACACGGCCATCCTCTCGCGCCCCATTTTTTCCTGTATCAAATTCACTTTCTGGGTTGAAATGTTCCTACCTCTTTCTACGGCTGACTCTCCTATCTGCTGGCCCTAATTTCAATGCCAGTCCCTCAGAGAAGCCATTCCTGACTGCTAGGCTAGGTCAGGCTCTCCCTTACATACTCTTTCAGCCCCTTCTGTTTCTTAACACGTAGCACCCCTGCTGTCAGCAACAAGGAGGCCTTAGGCCCGTGAGGCGGCCTCAGAGGATGGTCCCTAAGGTCAGACTTCTGGCTTCAGGTCTCTGCTCCATTTAATACTTATGAGCCTTGTGACCTTTGGCAAGTTACTTAACTTCTCTGTGCCATTGTTCCTTTCCCAGCTGAATGGGGATCATCACAGCACGCACATCAGAGTCCACTGGTAAGATTAAATGAGAGAACATCCTTGTCAAATGGTCAGTGCCGTGAGGTGCTCAAAATAACGCAAACTGAGTGATGAGCATTGACTGCGTCTTATTGGGCTGTTCTGGCTGAGGTGTGGTGGGAGTTTCTACGAGTCTGGGTGTCAGAGAAGGGCGGTGGGAAAGCCGGTATGGTGTGTGGGGAGAGTGGTGGCAACAAAGAATGGAGTTTTAATAAAGTCTCTTTTAGGACAGGACCTGACTTGCTTTTACCCTATGAAAGATGCTTCTTAGCCTTTGCCCAAGTTAGAAGCCGGCGTCGGTGATTAGAGGCCACTGGTTTTTGCGGGGTATTTGGCAGGGTGGGAGGGAGGTAAGTAGGTTTTTACTTATTCATTTATTTTTAATGGAGGTACTGGGGAATGAACCCAGGACCTCCAGCATGCTAGGCATGTGCTCTACCACTGAGCTATACCCTCCCCCCTAGGGGCCACTGTTTTAATATGAATGTCACAGAGTCTGTCTCTTCTTTCTGCTGGCTTCTGTCATGGGAACTTGGCTGCGGGGCAGGCCATCAACTCAGTGGACTGGATTTGGTTCCTGGTGACTAACCCCGTCTGAAAACCTAGTGCCAAAAGGAGAGGAAAGGGTGGGGTTGGCCTCAGATCGTTTACACGTGATTCCTACGAATGCGCAGAGTAAGGGAAATAATCACGGATCCTCGCCCTGGAAAGTTCTTCCCAATTCCCTTTTTAAATGTAAATGTTTACGATCTGGTCTTACTTGATGAGTAAGTGTTTTTACAGCTTAGGGAGGTGGAAGTCATTTTGGAACGAATACATTTGGTCATTTATTTTCTGGCCTAGTTAAGATGCGGTTTTGAAGACAGTGGGATCTGTCAGATCCATGATCTGTCAGTTTCCTAGATCACTTCTAGCCCTGTAATTCTATGATCTAATAGGATTTATAACATTATGTATTCCAGTAGTGGCTTGCAAAGATTGCTTTGAAGGGATTACAGATGGTTCTGTAAGTATATACTTTTAGAAGAACATAATGCAATTTTGCTTCCTAGCCCAAAGCCCAAAAAAGAATTAGGTAGGAGTTCAAACAAGTGTTAAAAGGCAGTTGTTGCTGGTGAATCCAAATGGGTTTTAAAATTCAATTCCATTTATCTTTATCATCAGAGGAGGCCTTGCATTTCGGAACTCTTATGGTTTGTTGGATGGCAAAGCACAATGACCACTCTAACATTACAAAATTAAGCAATGAGAAAAATCAGTGCAACATTCCAAATTTACATTAAGAGCAACTGAATGAGGAGAAGGCATTTCTGAATGTTAGAGTGAGGAATGGAACTGCGTCTCAAGTATCTGCCTTTGCTTACACGGTCGGATTTGCAACTTTGACACGTGTCTTCCATCTGACTCTGCCTGTAGTCCCTCATGCCTTGGAAATGCCCTGTGCACCTGGTGTCCTTTCATGGCATCCGAGGGAGACATTCTCACTGAAGTGCGGGTCCGAGTTCAGGCTTGATCTGTGCATAGAGGGTAGGGATGGCTCCGAGGAGGAGGGAACAGAGGACATCCAGGTAGTGGGGGCCACACTGTGGAGGGCCTTCCTGCAGGCAAGACGGAAACATTTGGAAGTTTTATCTTCAATAACTTTTTAGTTATAAGAAGAATATACCATTAATGTAGAAAAATTAGAGGAAAAAAAGAACAGTGTAAAAAAGAAGATAAACATCACTCACAAGCTTGTCTTTCAGAGCCTTTATGGTTTTTCCTCTTTTTTAATTTTAATTTTTTAATTTTTTATTGTTGGAAAGAGACATATCAAAGTGCTATTTTTAGAAACATGAACATGACAGGCAATTTAAGATGTACTCAGGGAAGAACTAAGAAGGCAGAGAGACTATTGAGGAAGCTAAGTCATGAGTTACGGGGCAAAGTGGTGGTGGCAGCAGTGACCTAAGGAGGAAGGGACAGATACGAGGCCATCAGAAATGAGCGATCAGTAAGTCTGCATGAATTTAGATGTGAGACTTGACACGGGGGAGGTGAAGGTGGTGTAGAGAGTTCCACTGAATGGACATTGCCTGATTCATTCATTCGTTCAATGGAAATGTATTGAGTACCTGCATTAAATCATCATTTGTTCATCCAACAGAAATGTAGCAAGTACCTACTAGTCTCATGGAACTTTCAGTGGAATGAGGCGGGGGGACAGACAAAAAGGAAAATAATTAACTACAGTGGGGAGTGTTAGGGTTAGCTCAGCAGTAGAGCACACGCTTAGCATGCACAAGGTCCTGGATTCAATCCCCAGTACCTCCAGCAAAAGTAAATAAATAAATAAACCTAATTAACTCTTCCCCAGAAAAAATAAAATAAATAAAATAAAATAAAATAAATAAAATAAAATAAAATAAAATAAAATAAAATAAAATAAAATACCACAAGTCATAGTATGGGGAAAAATTAAGCAATGAGACAGCTGAGATGTGTGGCAGGCGCTGTTTTAAGTAGGGAAGTCAGGGAAGATCTCACCGGGGTGGGATTTTGAAATAGACCCCTTAAAGCATGAGGAAGTGAGCCATCTGGTTACCTGGAGGTGGGTGTGGGAGAGGACCAGGAGAGGAGGGAAGCCATAGGGGGCCTTCGGCAGAATGACTCTGACCCTGGCTGTCACATTGAGAAAAGGCTAAAGAGAGACGCGAGTAGAAGCAGGGAAAGTGACGGTATATCCACAGAAGAGGGAGGTGTCCTCACCGGCTGGAGCTGCTGTAACCAGTGACCACAAACAGGGCAGCTTATGATGACAGAAATGTGTTCTCTACTGCCCTGGAGGCTAGAAGTCTGAAGGCAAGGTGTTGTTGGCAGGATTGGTTCCTTTTGGAGGCTTTGAGGGGGAGTCCGTTCTGTGCCCCTCTCCTGGCTTCTGGGAACTGCCAGCAGCCCTGGGCGTTCCTTGGTTTTTAGGTCCATCTCTCCAGTCTAGGCCTCCATCCTCACACTGCCTCTCCTCTCTCCTAAGGATACTTGTCCCTGGACTGAGGGTTATCTCAGTCCAGGAAAATTTCATTTGGGGATTCTTCATTACACCACTCAACACACTTTTTCCAGATAAGTCATGC